GGGGGGGATAACCTCAGAGTATAACCTCGGAGTATAACCTCGGAGTTAATCCTCTGTACAAACTGCAGGTCAAGCCATTATTGTCTGAGAAGTGTTTCGTTCATGATGTGGACCGTAATCTTTTGATGTCGCCAGTTCCCAAGGCATTATCGGGCGTGTTGGCCTTGTATCCGGAGTGTGTGCGGTGTTCGATACAAACATATATTAGTTTGTTGGGTCACGAAATTAATGGGTTGCCTCTTAAAAAGGCTATGTACGTGTCGGCGGTGACTCGGGATCGTACCAGTGTATTGGACGCCAATTTAATGGCCCTGGGAGTGTTAAATCCGAGGCCTCCGCTGCCTCAGTTCAGCTTAATGAAATACTTCTCGAAGCAAGTCACGCCTATGGGCAAGCGAAGGTTTGCGCACGGTTACCTTCGCCATCCTCTACGGAATCCATCATTAGTGCGGAGCTACCACCGGATTATCGATGCTTTAACTTCGGATCGCATGCTTTCTGCGCTCTGTAGCCAGAAGTTAAGTAGATTACCAGATCTGGATAAGATAACAGTGCGATTATGTTCGGCAAGGGTGGTCTCCCAGCAACGGCAAATGCTCAGTCTTATTGTCGCCGTCTACGATGCCCTGGTGGAGCTTTGTGAATTGCGAGCTCTCTTGAAGGACATTATGCCGGTTTTGTATGACCAAGTAAGAGTATGCCAGCCGCTAATAAAGTTAATTGAAACAGTCTTCGACGTCACGCAAGTTAAACTGAACGCCGGCAACGCACTAGACCAAGGCATGATTATCAAAGCAGAGGTCAAGGAGCTGGCCGAAGTTTACAAGGAGATGGCTGAAGCGCGAAAACGCGCTGACAAAGAGATAGATAGAATCAATGCCAAGTGCGACGGAAAGGTCAAAGTCATTGCAGTGCAACCACATGGACAGGTCTTTAGGATACCCCGCACGGTTGAGCCCCCCAATGGATCCATTCTAATCCGCGTTAACAAGGCAGAAAAAATATTTACGACACAAAGAATGCAAGAATTTAACTCCTTCTCAAGCGCTGCTTCTGAACAAGTCTCCCACCACGAAGACGCCCTCATTTCTAGATCTCTGGGCGTCATGGCCACTTACGTTGACTCTTTGAACATTATCGTGGATCAAATCGGCTTGCTTGATATTTTGATCGGGATTGCGAGTATGTATTCTCTGCTTAATTCAGCAGCGACGACAGCGACATCGGAACCTTGGATCTTTCCGACACTGGTTGAGGATATGCCCGGGTGCCTTCGAGTTGGCGCTGGGCGCCATCCGCTGCTTACTTTGAGATCGGAATTGAGCGCATCAGCGGAGAAAAAGTGTGTGCCAAACGATTTTAATTCGGAAGCGCACTATTTTGTCATTACGGGACCGAATATGGGCGGCAAAAGCACGTTTAGTAAACAACAGGCACTCATTGCGCTGATGGCGGGGTACGGATTGAAGGTTCCATGCGAGTCCTGTACTCTTCAATTGATGGATGTATTTTGGGCGAGGATAGGTGCGCATGACAACCCGTGTCGGAATAGCAGTACCTTCATGGTGGAAACACAGGAGACAGCGACCATGCTTGACGCTCTTGTGAATTGTGAAAGCCGGAAGCGTAGCTTGACTGGATTAGTTATATTAGATGAGCTAGGTAGAGGAACATCAGTCAAGGACGGCTTAAAGTTTGCGTCAGCGATCATAAAGTATTTGACTACGCTGCCTGGCATTACGTCTTTATGCGCTACGCACTTCCACGAGCTGTCACTCATTCCGAACACGATGCCTCTCAAACTTGGTTCATCCCGAGGGAACAACAAGTATTTGGTTGAGGCGGGCGTTGAAAAAGACAGCGACGGCATCGAGGCGGCACGATTCTGTGGCTTTCCCTCCGAAATTATTGAAGAGGCTAAAGCATTGCTGGCCCAAAGCTAGTTCGTGCTGATAACCGAATGCTGATAACTAGTCGCGACCAGGTCAAGTGCGACGCGGCCGGGTTGGGAAAGGAGGAGGGAGAGGGGGGAATTGCAGGATTGCGGCCGGGAGGGCCACTGTTTTATAAAGATGCCTCCGAGGGGTCGAGGTCGGCCGAAGAAGACGCCGATTCCGAGTGGTGCGGGTGGTCCCTCGCGTGTGGCAGAGGTGGTGTTTCGTACGAGCAAGCGTGACAACAACGCTGAGGTTTTGCGGCTGGCGGAGTATGTGAATGAGTTGCTGGTGGAGAAAAGTCGGAGCGTGGAGTCGCATAAGAAGTTGGAGAGTCTGGTGCGCCAGACGGTGTTGGATTTCAATGTGCTGATAGCAAGTGATCGGGAGTTTAGTCAGTGGATCCGTTGTTTGCATGGAATAGCGAGTAGTCGTGGCGACTTGTTCGGAGTTGTATATAGCAGCTTGGTTCAGCAGCTAAAGACCTTCCATGACCACGACGAGTACCGGGACTACGGTTACGGTAAAGATGTCGTGCTTTCGAAGGACATTCGGTGCAAGAGCATTGATGACGTGCGGCAACGGTGTATCAAAATAATCCAGGGACAACCGCTGAACAAACTGATCGACCGGCAGTCTTTCGACTTCCGCTTCCTCGTCACGGTCTTGGCATTCCACCCACGGGCGGCAGACAAGCTGCGAGGTGTAACTGACTTGAAAATAATCCAGAACAAACACGACGCAAAATGCCGCGTTATTTGCCTCGTCTATGACCCCAAGCAAAGGGAAGACGGTCTGACGGAGGATGATATCTCCTTCTCCAAATGTCTGCCCTACATCTACGACCCCAATTCCGACCGGATTCGCGACCTGCTATGCGATGCTATTTTCCGACAGTTCCGTTTGTTCTTTACCAGTCGAGGCACATACATGATAGACGTCCTACAAAAGTCAGCTCCTCCTCCAGAATTTCAGCAGATTGGAACCTCCATAGTAGATGCGAGAAGGACCAGCACGTATATTTTGAATTACATACAAGCCGTCCTCGGATTAATGTCGCGCGCATCATTGAAGCCCTTCAGTGACAACGGAAATTATGTGCAACTGGATACCATAGATACCTATAAGCTGTACCGGACTCTACAGACGTTCATTATCCGTTATCTTCATAATATGGAGACTGAGCGGATGGATGACGACATTGCAGAAGGATTCGATGAAGACCAGTTCAACTTTTGGCTTAAGGAACAAGCCGACGAACTCACCCGGATTTTGCAGTCTAAGAAGCATCGTTATTCGGCGCAACAGCTGGAGCAGGCTAAACAAATGGTTCGAAACCGAGATCTGATGTATAAGAAGTATAATCAAGTTAAGACCGAGGAAGAAGTAGGACCAGTCAAGCTCAAGCTAGATGCTGCTTATTGCCTTTTATACAGGTTCTTCGTTAAGGAATTCGAGTCTAAAAAGACCTTAATTCTACGGCGGTCAACATTTGACAAACACTTTTCGGAATCTGCCAAAGTGCTTCAAGACGTGTTAGGACCTACAGCATATGCCGCCCAGGCGCCTCAGTCTCCCATCGTATCGCCCATGTTGTCTCCCATGATGTCCCCTTATCAAGCCGCCGGAGCTGGAAGCATCATGGATTCTGGCAGCGCCATGGGATCCGGAAGCGCTATAGGAAGTGAGCCGGCATCCCCGCAGATCGATGTGAGATCTGGAGGAGGGTTGCTGATGAGTGAGGTCAGTGATATTCAGTCGATTACATCCAGTCGGAAATCTCGTGCCGGACCAGAAACATTGAAGGTGACTAACATTCTGCTAAGCCACTTGCTTGATGACTTCGAAGAAAATTGTCTTGGGGCCTACGATTCCCCCGTTCTGCCTCTGTTATTCTTCGGAATCGTTAATTTGGATTTTGAGGTTCACGGTAATATGTTCTTAAATAGAATCCTTACCGCCTTTAGGAACCAGACAACCAATGAGCTATCGAAGGAGAAAATAGCAACTTATATGATCGGATATGCATGCAGATGTAATCGGATTTCGGTTCAGGCGATACAGGATGTAGCAGTTCATTTAGCTAACGATCTATTATTCTTAGCGCGGAAGGCTTCAGTTAGCGGATCACCCACCAGCGGGGGACCAACAATTGCAGGGCTTAATGCTGCCGTTACCTGCTTTTCTGGATTGCTGGAAATATTTTGTGCGCGCTGGAATCAATTAAAGGACGATTTGGAAACGCGTGTGCTCCTGGAAATTTTCCTCATTATGGCTTATGCTAATTCAGTATTCGAGAATAGGTTCGTTCAGATGACTCGCAAGATAGTCTGCTCCACATTTGTGACCAAAATGAAGAGATTTGACGTCAGTTATCATAAGGAACTGTCGGCATTTTTGTCAGGACTATCTGATCACGGTGAGACCGTAATTGCTCCAGAGGCGGGGAAGAAGAAGAAAGGCGAGACGATGAGTGTGTTCGAAATGGAGACCACCTGGCCAGTGCGACCATTTGCTAGAGTTGATTTATTTAAATTTGGATCTTACGTTCATCGCCCCGAGATTTGGTTTGATTGCTGGGCCAAGGATGACGTCGAGTCTGCGGCATCCCAGCCTTTACCGCTGGGGGCAGAAATTGCTCAGGACATATGGAATAAACTCATCGAGGGAGACATTAGAGAGGTAACGCGGAGTCAGGATCCGGATATCGGTGATATTGACCTTGACGCCGACTCGATGTCAGGATCGGGCTCTGAAAGTGAGGACGTGGCGCTTGAGACGCAGGAGACGGGTATAGACCAAATTGTCAACCTCCAGATAGGTCCAGGCAAAGACGTGGCAATGGCGGACGTGGAAGAGATCTCTCCCGCCAGCTTGGCTGAAGAACCATCGGCGATAGCCGCTACGGAGCAGCAACCTGATGAGGTACCGGCTGCTGAGCAGCAACCAGGCGTGACCCAGGACTCGTCTGACCCAGAGGGTGACGTGAAGGAGAATTCATCTCTAATTAAGTCCGACACTCAACAGAAAGAAACTACGCCGACAGCCGTAGCGCAATCGATTGGCCTCGAATTTAGCAGTGATAGTAGCAGCGACGAATCGGACATGAGTGATTCGTCGAAGGTCATTCAATTTAACGTCCCGGGCACTGAGAAGAAGAACCTCGATCCTCGACAAGAAGTCGAGACTATCGTTGCTGAGACTGTTGGGACCAAAGGAACTGATGCGAAGAACAATTCAAGTAGCTCGTCAGATAGCACTGAGGACTCCGGTAATGAGGTAGAAATGGCTATAGAATCTAAGTCGTCAAAACCTGAGGCGGCGAACGTTGACGTGAGCATGGACGCAGCTAGTATGGGAGCGGAAGAGGAGACGCCCGTGGCGGAGACCCAAGTGATAGACGCTCCGGTAGTACACGTTCCTGTAGTGGAAGTTCCGGTTGTAGACGCTCCCGCTGTACCTGTTGTGGAAGCGGTGAGGAGCTTGTTCGAAGTTAGTGACAGTAGTGCGTCTTCCGTCGATAGTGAGACTGTGCCGGACGGCGTTGGTACTAAACGCAAGTTTGCCACCAGCGACCCGGCCGTCGATAAGAATTGCAGCGAGGGTGCCGGCGCGAAAAGAGTCAGGCTCGATTCCGAGGCCGCCCCGTCAATGACTGACCTCCTCAGTGTAGTTGAGCCTGGGGCGGCGACCGCGGCTGGATCGGTCGTCTCTCCTGATGTCTCGATGGAGGGAAGGCTTCCGTCGCAAGACTCAATTCTTTCAGATCCAAGACCTTCGGATGTAGGCCAGCCTCAGGTCATTGAGCAGAGCGACAAGGCCCTGTCGGCTACGCACTCGGTAGAGATGACGCCGCCGGACCACACAGATCCGGGGTCAACGTCCACGGTCGTAAACGTGTTCAACGATATGGGACGCGAAAGCGAAGAGACCGGACCGGTGGAACAGGGATTGCCAAATGAGGTTGAATCGTCAGGTGAGGTTGAATTGTCAGGCCAGGCTAGAGAAGGGGAGGTAGGCAACGTGGTCGAGAACGGAGTGAGTGGAAAGAGCCGAGCTACTACGGAGGACGAAACCCTTCCTGATGGAGTCGTTCCTGATGACGTCGTTCCGGCAACAAGCATGGAAGACCCTCATCCAGATACGGATTTCCCCGGAAACTCAGGATTGCCTCCAGTTACTGATCTTCCGGCTTACGTACCTCCGGCTTACGTACCTCCGGCTTACGTAAAGGCGGCTGGGGGACTTCGCGAGTCGGCTGCGACCACAGCATCTGGCGCGGCCACGCCGCTCATAAGCACTCCGGCAAGTACACCGGCAGCAAGCAAGCTGTCTAGTGAATTCGTAGGCGGCCTAGAGACTGTCGGGGACTTGGACGGGAGCTTTGTCGCCGGAGAGGCTCTAGTCCCAGTCCAGCCGCAAGAACCCGGATCGGAAGAACCCGGACCGGGAGCGTCCGACTCAGGGGCCACTCCCTGCAAGGCAGTCAGTCCCAGCGAGGCCGATTCCGCGGCGACGGAAGCGGCGTTCAGTCCGTCGGACGACGTCGACACGCCTTTGAACTACGACCGCGGCGCGACCGCCATCAGGACAGGCTTAAAGGCGGCCATGCAGTTGACTCCGGTCACGAGTCCGCCACCAATGAGTCCGCCATCAATGAGTCCGCCGTCAATGAGTCCGCCGTCAATGAGTCCGCCAGCGACGGCAGAGTTGCAGTCGACCCTGCAGCCATTGGCCTCACCGCAGTCGGTCGTCCAGTCGCAGTCGGTCGTCCAGCCGCAGTCGGCCGTCCAGCCGCTGTCGGCCGTCCAGCCGCTGTCGACGCTCAGCCAAGGTCCACTAGACAACAAGGTGCTCGGGCTCATTGATAAACTCGTCGACCACTTGATCAGCACCAACAAATTCCTCCTGAACGCGCTCCTGCAACAAACCACTATGGGCTCGGCAATGGCCGGTCCTCCGGTCGTCGACGCTCAGTCCGGACGTGTTGCGCCGTGCACAGGTGACCAACAGGTGGCCGGCAACCGACCGAAACCGCGGAAGCCGCGGAAGCCGAAGCCATCTTAATACTGAACCAGCATAGTCTACTCCAATAATCGTAATCCGACAGCAGTAAGTAAGCTGGCAGCATATTGATGCGCGTTGGTCACACGGACGCGATGAGGCGTTCGCTGACGAGGGTGCGCAGAATGGAGACTCGTTGTGCGTGTGCCTCCTGTGCTGCGACGACGACGGGCAGGACGTCGCGTATGGAAGACTCCGTAGCGGTCTCGAGCATGAGTGCTAGGTTATCAACTTTGGTCTTGCACTCTGACGACATTAGTGCAACTTCTTTAGTTCGCGACAAGCACGCCACAGTTAGGTCACAGTCCTTTTTAATCAACTCGTAATGTGTCGGATCCACAAACAGATACTCGTCCGCCAGGGCGACCGTGCTCGCTATCACTAAATCGTCCAACGCATAGCCGCTCCGTGTCAACGCCAACGTTGTCGCATTCACGCACGCCGCCAAGGTCCCACCATCAGCACACAGCACTGTCAACTGCACGTTTATCGCCGCTGCCGGGTTCGTCTTGTTCTGCAACACCGGCTCAAACGTATCCTTCAACGCCTTTTCGTACGTAGACGATAAACGGTTCTGCCGCTGCAACCGCCGTTCGGGGAAAGCAAACGGCGCCCACGACAACGAAACCACTAACTGTGGGCTCGCGCACGGTACCTACGCATTACCACGTTAACAACTCATTACAACGATAACACGATTAATTACACACACGTGTGCGATGAGTGTGTGCACACATGTGAGAGGCGTGTGCACACATGTGCGAGCTGTGTGCACACGTTTGAGCACCGGCTGGGAAATACCTTACTTGTTCGTCCTCCATAACTTGCGCCATGACCATAGTTTTCCCGCACTGATACGTGGCACCGCCGTTGGCGCCGAAGGACCCCATTTCCGCCTTCACGCGGCGGTGCTGGTCCAGCATCCGTCCGTCTTTGCGGAAGCCAGCGGCGGTAAGCAAATCTAGTGACGCCATTGCGTTGATTTTTATTCTTGGCCACCCTTTTTGGCCACCCCGCTTCGACGCCCACGAACTTTGATAACGATGGGCCTGTCCAGCTGGCTACAAAAAAGGTGTTGCCCCGTATTAGTCTATCCCGCATGCCACCTCGGTCGGTACCAGCCGCCTCTGCGGGTACCTGCCACGTGTTGCCATTATTGGCCATCTAGGTCTTCGTCAGCGAGGTCGTCGTCGTCCTCCTCCTCTCCGAACGGCATAGTCGGGGGGTAGGGAAGGTAAGGACTGGAGTACTGGTATATAGTCTGCGGCACAAAGCTGGCGCAGGGGCCAGGGGCGAAGGGGAAGGCCGGAGGTTGCGCGAACAGGGGTTGTGCGAACATCGTTTGAGGTGGCCCGCTTGCGGCGGGATTCCAGAGCCACGGCTGTGATGCCAAGATAGACCTAAAGGTGGCTCTGGCTGTGATTAATTGGTTCACGCACGCAGCGATCTCTTCTTCTTTTTTCTTCACTTCTGAACAAAGAGCTTCCGCTTTCTCCCTTAACTGTTCCAAGGTCTCCAGCGTACTCACTAACTCTTCAGCAGAAAGCTGTGCATTCGCGTCTCGTTCCTGACCATTCGCACCCGCATTGTCGCACTCGATAGCTGCCAACAACGTGCGGTACGTCTGATCCTGTCTGCACATCTCCGCATTGGTCACCTGATACTGCGTAGAAAGCTCCAAGTGCTTGTCCACCAAGTCCTTCCACCTCTGCATATACGGAGCCGCTGCACACTCGTGTCCTCTAAGAACCGCTTCTTCCGGGGAAGCAGCCGGACCCGGAAATGTGGGCGTCGTGCAGTTGCCGCCGTTGTACATACCGCCGTTGTACATACCGCCGTTGTACATACCGCCGTCGTACATACCGCCGTTATACATACCGCCGTTATACATACCGCCGTTGTACATACCGCCGTTGTACATACTGCCGTTGTACATACCGCCGTTGTACATACCGCCGTTGTAGATACCGCCGTTGTACATACCGCCGTTGTACATACCGCCGTTGTACATACCGCCGTTGGGCATGCCAGCACTATACACGCCTCCACTATACATGCCCCCATTATTCATACCACCATTATACATGTCACTGGTGGGAGTACCACCGTTCTTGGTCATGCCGGCGTCACCTCCACTGTTGCTCTGTACGTTGCCGTTGGGCGCAAGGCTATTGTCAGGTGCGAACACCTGTTCTCCTGTCGCTGCGTAAATCAAGCTTAGCAAGCGAGGGTCACCTGCAATGCCGGCTGCCGTCGCGACCGAACTCCGCATTGTTCGTCTCACTTTCCAGTCACTAAATTTATCACCCCCGGCGGCTCATAGTAGTGTCCGCTCGTGGTCCAACGTGGCCGAGGATCTGATAACCATGTTGCCTCGGTGGTCCATGTAGGCCGTATACGGCCGCCTCGGTCATACCAGTCGTTTTACCCCCTGCGCTGAACGCCATACCTTCATCGGTCGGGTCGGTCCAGGGTGTGTGTCTTGACTGAGTGGGGCGTCTTAACTGACTGTGTGTCTTAACTGACTGTGTGTGTCTGTGACAGGGTGTGTGTCTGTGACAGGGTGTGTGTCTGTGACAGGGTGTGTGTCTGTGACAGGGTGTGTGTCTAGCAAAAGGGTGGTTAATTGATTTCAGTAAACGCAAATTAGTTTGGCTGGGTGGGATTGATTTCTCAGCACACGTGATGGGTTCGGACCTCAAGATAGAGGCAGGGTGGGGTTGGGAGTAGGCGTTGGGAGGTAGGGAATTATTAAAATGTAAATGGGGGATCATGTCCGTAGTAAATTGCAGGACACACTGAGCGCTTTGATACCGCCGTCACAGCGGTTGTTGATTCTTCAGGACACGCGTGGATCAATATATGCTCTGGATTGGTTGAACGGTGCCTTCTTGTGGGCTGTACCGTTACCGCGGGAGGAGTCGGAGGCGACGGGATTCTCGTTTGAAGCAGGACTGACTTCATTCCAAGATGATGTCTGCAGTTTGGAAAATGATCTGGAAGGTGGTCCTTGGGCCTGGAACGAGTTATCAACAAGTTTGCCTGCGGCGATCCAGGCCGAATTACGACAACAGACGGCACGACTACTAGCAGGTCCAGATGGCGGACTGGCCTTCCTCGATTTCTCTGGTGAATTTGTACCGGTTCCGGATCTCTCGATAACACACGTGTTGCAACAAACACCCTTTGCCACACCCCTGTTCCCCAAACATTATCTACTCGGTCGGCAAACCCAAAAGGTGATCACATTGAACCTCCTCAACGGCAAGCCCATGACCGGTAGCAGCACCGGTGGTTCGAAATCCGCATACGGCAGGGGTATGAGCAGCGGTAGGAGTGCGAGCAGCGGTTCGAAGAGCAACGGTCCCTTCGATAAAATCGGCGAAGACATAGCCTTGGAGATTGCGACATCGACCATTACCATTTCCGCCCTGCCAATTGAGAATCAGAAACAGGCCGACTGGTCATTCAGCTGGACCACAATTGGATCGGTAGGCGAAAGCCCGATGCGACCGAGCGAGGCAGAGTGTCTGTTGAATGCCTCTGAAACTGCCGCAGGTGTCTCACTCTCGGCCGGTGTCTGTCTACCCTCCCGCGGCTGGGAACTAGACACTGCTTACGACGTGTTTGGCGTCAGCTGCGCTGAAGTACTCATTGAAGGTGCACTAGGTCGGGCCATCTTCGCAGAAGGCAACCAAGTCACATTGGACCTCTGCTCCGTGGCACGAGCACTCGCACCTTCCTCCAACACCGTTGATGGCTCCTGTGGCCGCCCGGATGCGCGGTATCTTAAGCTCACCTTCCCTCACGCAATCCTCAACGTCTACCCGCCGAAAACGCTGCACAAAATGACCAAGTCACTCACCTTAGGAGACGGCCTGCTCGAAATAGAGCCAGGGACCTTCCCCATCAACAGCGCACTCTACAATGCCGTACTCACACACCTACAAGGCTGCGCTGTCAAAAGACTACACGACTACAACCGGTACGCCGATGATCAGCGCACAAGACTTGCCGACGAGACAGACGTCGCTGATCTGGAGCCAGAGACTGGTATGGAAACTGGCTTGCAGGCTGCTCTGGAGCCAGGGACTGGTCTGGAACCCAGTCTTGTGGGTGACTGTGTTGTCCAACAGGTTGATGGCGCTGTCCAGTTGGTTCACGGTCAGGACCCCCCAACAGAAACGCGGGATGCTCTGGTGGTTGTCAATGATGCATCCATCCCCGTCTTCGACGCACACGGCTGGTTGCTTGGACAGGTCGCCGCTTGCGACCTTGACCGCGGCGACTGCGACGGACCGCTTCCCGAACTCTATATACGCCCTCCAGTGGGGCCGGACTCCGCGTCCTCCATAGATTCGCTCACAGACGAGTTGACAACAACCAGCTTGCTAAGCGGCATTGGGCCAGACGGGTACTCGCAGCAATACAAGCAGAAGACGGTGAAGATGCTTCTGACCGCCAAGGCTGCGGACGAGCCGCAGCCCACTGCGACCTGGGTTACGGGCATTCCGCCGCTATCCGTCCCGCCGCTGTCCGTCCCGCCGCTTTCCGCGCCGCCGCTCGTAGCAGAACCGCTGCCCTTCCCCGAATATCGGGTGCCCGAAGCGCTACCCGCCGCCTTGGGAGACCGCCCGCCTACCCCTTACGTTAGCTTCAACTCCGGACTCTACGTTGCTGTACTCTCCCCTTCAATCACTAATTGGATCGTCACCGGCTTCCTCGTGGCCGCCATCTGCGGCATCATTGGCTGGTGGATGGGTCGTTCCAGTCGAGGACGACTGCGCGGAACTGCCGAAGACGGCTCACACGCGTGTGCACACACTTTTGCAGACGGGCTAGCCAAATTAATCAGTCCGTCTGGCAGCCAAAACGGCGGCCGGTCCCAGAGCAGCGGCCCCACGCAGCTCCAGAGCGGCGAGATTCCGAGTGGCGAGTTCCGAAGCGGCGAACTTCCGAGCGGTGAACGTGTCGGAGGCGAGGAGTCCTCGTTGTCGTCTTCGACAGTGCAGCGGCCCGAAGAGGGCGGCCCGAAGACGCTCGCGAATTGCGGAGTCGCTTGTGAGGAAGAGCCTGCGGCGGAAGGTCTGGTGGCGAGTTCGCCGGAATGCGCCGCTTTAAAGCGACCAGGGGAAGCGGTTGGGGACCCGGCGGGGGGTCCACCACTGCCGGCGGTGCCACCGCGGGAGGCTATGGGAACGGGATCGCCGGCGAGCAGGGGATGCTCTCTGTGATCCGTAGCAGCACCAACCGGCTCACGGCGCTGTTGCAGTGGACTTCGAAGCCGCAGTCCAAAGTCCCTCCGAATGCGCCGTTGCACCAGTTATTGGATAACGGTAAGTTTGAGCGCACGTTCACGAACTCCGTGCTGCTGGGACGAGGTGGTTTCGGGTCGGTTTATCGAGCTTCTCATCGGATGGAGCCTGGACACACTCTCTATGCGCTCAAGGTGGTAGCGTGTGAGGCTTCTGTAATTGGCGACCTGAAGGGGGCGCGGTACTTTAGAGAGGTCGCGACGAACCGGGACATCCTGTCCAAGTACGTCGTCCGCTACTTCACGTGGTGGTGTGAGGAGCCGCAGTTCTTGCCGCAGCACACACAGTCCAGCTTGCCCAAGCCCATTCAGTCATCTTCAGCTGGGAACTCGCCGAGCCTAAGCACGAACGACAAGCCTGCAGCGAAGGACGAAGCTTCTCCCGAAGCGCAGGCTATATATAACGACAGCGATATGTTCGCTTCTCGGCGGCAGTTAGATAGCGTGAACGAGGCCTCGTCGCCGAGGACGGTAGGCGACTTGGTCGAGGTGGCAGAGCAGGGCTTCCACGGACAAGATAGCAGCAGCAGTTCTGACGGCGTCTTCTTCGAAGGGGCCTCGCGGACATCGTGCGACTCAGACGACATATCCTTCAAAATGAATCTCCTTGACGACGCCCCCAATGACGAATGCCGGGACGAGGCATCGCGCAATGAACGACAGACCTGCCAGATCTGTCTCATAATTCAAATGGAGTGGTGTCCCGGCCCGACTCTAAGGCACTGGCTAGCCAAGTATACCCGCCTTCCCCCCCTCGCCCGCCTTCCCTTCCTGTTCCCCCC